CGGCCTATGGTGGAACAGTACGGCAAGAGATAAGGGCTTGCGGTTCAGTGATACTCCTTCATAGATCCCTACTGGAAGAGCGTGTGCCGTCTTAATACCGGATATATATATTTATATATATATATATATATATATATATATATATATATATATATATATGTACACTGTATAAGTTTTCCTTTTATCTTTGCATGTATTCGATTATGGAAGTAGATATTTTCTATGGTTTGTATAATATTAGTTGGTATGTTTCTTTTATACAGTAGGTGTTAGACGTCTTCGACTTAGATGCGAGCGAAAGCCTTTGTCAGGTCTATAAAACATAGATATGCTGGTTTATTGTACTTATACTTGCCCTTCCGTGTTTTAGAAGCTCGTTGGTTATTCCGTCTGGTCCTGGTGACTTTCTATTTTTAAGTGAATTTATGGCTATTTCTAATTCCTAAAAAATTATTTCTATTTCGTGTCTTAAATTCAGGTACGTTATTTTGTCGATTATTATTTTCCTATGCTTTAAACAGTTTCGTCGGGTATCTTTTGCATTTGTTTGCTGGTATGTTATTGTATTCCTTCAATTCTACCATTTCTTTCTGTTGGTTTCTTATGAATCTCAATTAGTGTTTTTGTGTACCGTAGAAGTTGCTTTCTACGTTTTTTGTAAACTGTTCCCAGTGTTTATTTTTTGTTCTTCTTACCAACTGCTTTGTTTCATTTTGATTTATTCTATAGTTGTCTTGGGATTCTGGGGTATTTGATGTTTTGTATTTCGTGTAGGCCTTTCGTTTCTCTTTGAATTTCTCTTTTATTTCTTTTCGGAACCATGGTGTATTGTTGTTGTTACTTTTGTTCAGTATGACTTTGCATTTTCCTAGATCCTCTGTTACTGCTTCTTCAATGTTGTTTTTAATTTTCTACCAGCTCGCTTTTATATATTCGATGTCGTCTATTTGTTTTCGCTGTATCTTCTGTGCTCGATTCCTTTGGTAAATTTCTCTTGTAGATTAGTTCCACAGTAATTATACATTGAATTTTTCCTCGATGATTTCCTGTAGAAAATTTTGTTTTGGTGTTAGTTTTATTCTTATCTTTGCTAGTACTAGTTTGTGTTTACTCCCTGCGTCTGCTAAGTTTGAAGTTCGGATGTCTAGAATTTGCTTTGGTTGGATTTTTCTATTAGTGACGATAAAATCAATCATAGATTTATGCCCCCTGAAGTTTTCAAATGTATATGAATGTCTAATAACGCTAAAAACGTAAATAAAATAAATTAAATATTCTTCTTCTTACGGTTCCTTATCCTTAAGGACGTGGGCCATTATATTTGCCCATTTAATCTTATTTGTAGCAGCCCTGAATAGTTCTATGGAGGTCATGTTCGTCCATTGCCGTAGGTTTTTAAGCCAAGAGTTGCGTCTTCTTCCTGGTCCTCTTTTGGTTATAAGTTCGAGCCTTTGATTATAAGTTGGAGCAGTTCATGCTTTTGATTTCTTATGATGTGACCCAAATATTGTGTTTTCCGTTCTTTTATTATAAGCATAAGCTCTCTTTCCTTGTTCATCCTCCGCAAGACTTCCGCATTTGTTGTATGGCTCATGTAGGATATTCTGAGCATTTTACGATAACACCAGAGTTCGAATGCTTGGATTCTTTTTTGTGTTGCTTCTGTCATTGTCCAGACTTCAACACCATAGAGCAAGGAGGAGAAAACATAGCACTTAAGTATTCTAGTTCTCAATGAGATGCCCAGCTGGCGGTTGCATAGAACTTTTTGCATTTTGTAAAACATTGTACGTGCCTTTTTGAGGCGTATTCTTATCTCTAGTGAGTGGTCCCAAGTTTCATCAAGATTACTTCCAAGGTACGTTGTTCTTGTTACTCTTTCCAGATCTGTTCTGTCGACATTGACCTTCACCCTTCAGTTTTGCTGCTTGCTGATGACCATCGTTTTTGTCTTCTTTGTATTCAATTTCATTCCAAATTCTCTACAGGCTGTCGTTACTCGGTCCATTAAGCGTTGCAGGGCTTCAGCATTATCTGCCAGTATGACAGTGTCATCAGCATATCGCAGGTTACTTATACATTGCCCGTTTATAATTATTCCATCCTTTCAAAGCTTTCTGAAATATCTTCTCAGAGTAAACATTGAACAGCAAAGGTGATAGGACACATCAATGTCTTACTCCCTTCACGATATTGATTTTGCCAGATGTTTCGCTTTTTATTCTGATTTCAGCCTTTTGTTCTTGGTAGACGTTTTAAATGATCCTTAAGTCTTTATCGTCGATATTACATGACCTAAAAATATCTATTAGTTTATCATGTTTCACCAGGTCAAACGCCTTCACCAAAGTCTATAAAACACAAGTATACATCAGAATCGACATCTCTTCATCTTTCAACTAGCACACGTATTGAAAAATGTGCTTCTCTTGTTCCGAACCCATTCTTAAAACCAAACTGAGTTTGACCAGTGTGTTCGTCTAGTTTATTGTATACTCTATTGTGTATTACTCGTAGGAAAAGCTTTAACATATGACTCATCAGGCTAATAATCCTATGGTCTTCACATTTCTTAGAGTTTCTCTTCTTTGGTAGTGCTGTAAACACCGATGTCAGCCAATCATTTGGTATTATGCCTGTTTTGTATATTTTGTTAAATATATCTTCCATTACTTCGATGTGTTCGTCTAGTAATATCTTTATTATTTTAATTGGGATATTATCTTCCCCAACAGCTTTTCCGTTCTTTAACTGATTTGCTGCTTTGATAATTTATTGCTTTGTGATATAAGGTCTAGTCGATGCCTCCTAAATGTTCGTCCTCTCTCGTCCTCTCTCGGTCTTGAAACATCTCTTCCACGTATTCTCTCCATCTACCCATTTGATCTTCTATGTTCAGTAGCGGGTTTCCATGTTTATCTTCGATGAAAGACGTAGGAGTTTGTTTAAATATTTAAGCGGCTTCTTTTACTTTTTTATGAAGATTGAAAGTATCATGTCTTTGTTCCAACTCTTCAATTTCTTTCACTTAGCCAGGTTTCTCGGGCTTGTTGGATCTTTGTTCTGATATTCTTGTGTATTTGCTTGTATGTTGTTTCATTTTTATCTCTGCATTTTCTTCTTTCGTCCATCATGTTTAGAATTTCTTCTGTCATCCATGGTTTGTTCTTTTTTTGTGTATATTGGTTGAGGTAGTCTTCTTGTATGTGTTTTCTTAATATAGTGCCATTCTTTCTCGGGAGTTTGTGTCGATTATACTGTTCTGTTACTCAAGTGTCTATGTATTTCTTCCCATATTTTATTACTAGTGGATTCTTCTTTAAGCTTATCTAGGTTAATACCTATTATTTGCTTATTTCTTTTTGTTCTTTTATATTCTATCCTAATTGTTGCAAGAAGAAGATTGTGGTCGGTAGGGATGTCAGCTCTGGGGTATGTCTTGCATGCTTTTACTGCGTTTTTGTATCTTTTGTTGACCATTATGTAATCGATTTGATTTCTTGTGATGCGTCCTTCTATTTCATCTACTGGAGATTTTCACGTGTAGAGACGTCTGGGTGGTAACTTGAAAAAGCTGTTCATTATACTGTACTGATTTTCTTTACAAAACTAAAGCAGTTCATTTCTTATTCCGAGGCCAAACTCCCCTACCGTGTCATCTTCTCTTCCTTTTCCAATCTTGGCGTTAAAATCTCCTAATATTATGTTGGTGTCATGCTTCTTTGTCTGCAGTAGAGTTTTGTTTATACCTTGATGATATTTATATTGACTGGTTTGCTGTCTATTTTTATTAGCATTATTCTATTTGATGTTGGTAGTAATCCAGAAAATAATTTTGCAATTTCATTAGATGTGATTATTGCTACACCGTTTTTATTTTGAGTGCCTTCATCTCCAGAATAGAATACTGTATAGTTTCCCATCACACAGGTACCTGTATTTGGCCATCTTACCTCACTGCATCCCGGTATATCGATATCAAGTCTTTCTATTTCTTGAATTAAATTTGCGTCCTTTCCCGCTTCATATAGACTTCTCACATTCCATGGGCCTATTCTTTTAGTTTTCCTCCGGGGGATTCTTAGCACCCTCTTCTCATTTAAGAGGTGCCCGGGACTGAGGGCCGTTGTTTTAGGTTCCATGAGCATTATGTAATTTTGCTGGGGAAATATTAGTATAGTGGTTTCCCGTTGCCTTCTACAACGCTGTACATGTGCCGCTTTTGTGAATGTCACCACGCCAGATGCTGTCTAATTCACAGCCATTTCAGTCTGCCTGTGGTTAGTGTTGGATCAGCCAGCTTGTGAAGACCTTCTCCTCCGCCCTGGATACCGTTGTGGACTTCATCCGTGACCCTGGACAAGGGACCCTTAGCAGGTTCTAGTTTCCCGGGTCAGGAAACACCTGGAATCTGCGGAAGGCAGGGATTATTTCACTTCCCCTGATAGGACTATCCGAAAGGAGTTCCTACCTGCTACCCATAATAAATATTAAATAAGTCTATAAAACACTATTGTATTTTTCTACTTTGTAGAACTATTTGCAACACATGCGCCTCTAGCAGCGATTGCTGAAAGCTGCATTATATGTTGAAAAGTCGACATACAAACGATGCATTGCGTTTCCACTCCTTACAGCTCTCCCAGTCTTCTTGCTTGGGTAATTTCAATATTGCTTTGAGAGATTTTTTTCTTATTCTGTGTCGTTCGATTGACTAAATAAAAAAAAACTGGCTTTTTTAAGCTGATCGGCGTCCGGTTGTATTAACATAAAACCTGTCAGGTAGTAACTCTATCCCAATAGCCCCGAAAAAATTTAAAAATGTTGATAAACGATGAAATTAACACTAATAATTTAATACACTACTACTAATTAATTAATTACACAGGTGTAAAATGTAATTAAATTTTTCAGATTTAAAAGCATATTTTTGAATAAAAAAAGTAATCTAATTTTTTATTTTTATTCTCGGCATTTTTAACACCTACTATATTTTTCAGATACTATCTTGGAATACCCGAAGGAAAACCTGGCCAATTACATCTTTATAGAGTGGCGTCCGTCCCGCCTAGAACGGGAGCTTCTTTGCCTCCTCCAATCTGCATAACATGCGTCAAAGAACCTGCTCCTACACAACCACCCTTCATAGCTTTAGACGAAAATATTTACAGAGTAAAAACAAATACTTGGGACGAAGATGATGACGATATTGTTGTCACAACACCTCCCACAAGAAAAAAGCGTAAGAAGCAAAAGGTTGTCGAAAAGGAACCGCCTTGTTTGTACCACAACGTTGTATTCAGTCCTAATTCTGCCTATTATGTTTTGGAGTGCTTGGGCCCTGGGATACCTACTAGTATATTGTATAAAACAGGAATGCCAAAATCAAAAATTCTAATGTGGTTGCAAAATAACACAGAACTTAAAGAACGAGTGGAGGAAATGGCAATGCCGCAAATAAGGACGTTTCCTGTCCAGATATCCGGGGGGTAAGTATTTTTTTTATTTAAAGACAAAGTCACATCCACCTAATGGTTATAAGAGAGGGAACTGTATAATTTTACAAGTATAGGTATATTACCTGGTTATGAAGAAGAGATTTTTACAAAATAGGACTAAAGTGTAACTGCATAAGTCTAGTATGACCTAATCGTAATCAACTACACTCTGTTCAAGACAAACTTTGTAAAAAGGTTTAGTCCCTATAAGTGTGTCTTTAATTTGTCGTTGTTTAGACGTTGTCAGACTTCCAAGATTTTTGCCTAATTAAAAAGTTTTAAATCATCTGGTCTGCACTTAAATATTATTTCCGAGTCCGTCCTAGACCCTGAACTACGCTCTCTTAGGTCTGCCTCTTGTTTTCTTGGAATACCCACATGAAACATAATGCATATAGTATTTTTTATATAAAAATGCGTGCATGTCATTTAAGATTTACGACGTCATAACCCCACAACGTTGCAAAAACATCAGAATAGTTAATAAATGAGAAATTTTTAAAATGTCAACTATTTGTCAAACTGTTATATTAACAGTAAATACACGTAGTTTTAAGACTACTGCAACACACTAAAATATATAAAAAACATTCTAATACAAAATTATGTAGTCTAAATTTTAAACTTAATAGTACATTAATAGTAAAAATGTTCCGCTATTATTTCTTGTTCAAAATAATATATCTTCTACAGAGTATTTAGTTTTTTTGGTATACCACAATCACAATAAACAACAATAATTAGTTTTTAAAGCTATTAATCTAAATTTAATATCTATTTATAAAGACAATTTATTAATATATAATATATTATAATCAAATTGTGTAAGGAATCAAAACATAATCAAAATTCTTACTCTAAAAAAGCGGCAACACTCTATACAAGTTTGTTACACATTGAACTGTCATTAAAATTTGAAGTATTCCCGTATTAGTTGCGTACAATTCTCTAATCTATTTAATTAAAATTATTATTTTGTGGAGTAAATTAGACTTAAAGATATATTTCATAAAATTTAGTTTATTGATAATAACAAATGGTTTTGATTATTTAATCAATATAATTCTAAAATTCCCAATGTAATGATGATTATATTTTTCTGAATAATATACTATGTGGACACCCATGAAAGATCGAGTAGTTCCGTATGGGTTTCGTATTATTAGCTGTATTAGGAAAATTTGAACTCTAAGGTTGACGTTCTGGAAATTTTAAATATAAGTGACGTCATTTTATATAAATTCTGACGTACAACATTTTTACTTTGAAAAATGGTATATATGAAGTCAACTGTTTTACCTTTTCCTTGATATCAGTAAAATATAACTTATCATCATTTGTTCAATTGGGTGTTTAGGATATACTCGTTGAATTGAAGTAATCGCATTCAGAATAAAAGAGAATTACCGGTTTACGATATTGGAATCATTAATAAAATTTTATTGCTCAATAAAAAGCGAATAATTTGGCTTTGTATTAGCTACAGTTAAGAGATAGTTAAAATAGATGTTTGCTTGAATTGATCATAAAAGCGGCATCATCTCAATTGCTAGATATGGAAGCATTTATATATATATTTTATAGAAATTTTTATAAGATTGTGAGTATATTTGACAAAATAGTTTTTATTACTTATTGTATTTCCAACTTAGTGTATTTATTTAAATATGTATAACATTGTGGAATATTGATCAACAAAGGTGAATGAAGATCCGCGATGTTTGGATCGAATGTATTGGGAGAATTAAGTTAAATTTAATTTCTTATGTTTTGATTCTTTTATAGTATGTTTTTTTTAGTTTATCATTATAATTAAAAAACTGGCTATATTTATCTGTAAAGATGTTACTGTAAATAGGTTTTTCTGGATTACAGTATACCGAGGATGAATGTGTTAATGTCAGTTGCAGTTTAAATGCTCGTAGTAGTATGATTTATAGATCATTATTATAGATTGTATTAAGAGATCTTAAAATAGACTTTGTGGCAGAGGAACAAGTGATGCATCCATAATAAAGTTTAGACCCAATTAACGATTTGTATGATAATATTATTGTATTTCGGTCGGAAAACCATTTCCTTTTTGATAATGTTTTTAAAATATTTATTCTCTTATGGCAAGTTAATTGTAATGGCTCGTTAAGTTCTCGCCATGTTAGTTTTCCGCAAATCGCCAGGAAATTTTGACATTCCTGTCAAAATTTCTTGAAGAAAAAGTCAGGACTTCCTACTGTAAGGAAATGTCATTTCCTTACTGTAAGGAAATGATATTTCCGTACAGTTGTTAGTGTTCTACATAAATGATAGAAACGAAGTTTTGAGTATGTAGATATATCTACATTGTGTTTAAGTGCAAGGGTTGACTTCAGCATTGAATAATTGGCCCATAATGTTGAAGATTTCATTTTTAATCAAAGGTCTAGGAAGTATGCCATTACAACATTTTCTGGGAAAGAACTCGTATTTTTACTCATGCGATAATCCATAAAACGTCTGTATGCATTTTCCTACTTTTCTCTTGATTTCTTTGGCAATAATTCTAATGAAGCAGTATTCACTGCCTCAACCTGCTCTGGAGGAGTCCCAGGAATGGAAATTTCATCATCACTTATCATTTTACTTTCGAGAACACCAGCAATTAAATTTATAAGCGTCAAGTTTGACAATTCAACCTCAATACGTTTCCATAGTAACCCAAGTAATTTTATTGGAAATTTTAAAGCACCATTTATTTGGGAATAAAATTATCGCGTTTTTTTTAAATCAATCAATATTTGTCGAATTTTAAACGATTTGCGGAAAAATAGTATGTTTACCTCGTAGGAAAAGCCACATTCCTGGGCTCAATGTACTATTGTTACATAAACAATGTACTATTGTTAAAATGCATTCTTAAAAATTAAATATAAGGGTCTACTGTTATTGGTTTTCCTTATAAGGTAATATTTGGCGTGATAATTATATGTTTTGTAAAAACTATGATTATTGTTTTGTAGTGAAAATTCAAAAACAGTGTTTTGAGATCTTGTAACCAGTTTATCTATAATACTTTAAAAACATTTTGTCATACTGTCTTCATTTTTATCCTTAAAAATACCACTAAATCGTCAACACAAATCCGTGCTTTTAAAGGTTTTGGTTTTATGTTTAGGTTTGGTTTTTGTATTAAAAAATATCATTTATCGCTATTAAGAAAAGTATTAGGCCAATAACAGACCCTTGTGGTATTTAATTTGTTAATCAGTGAGTATTCGAGCAAGAATTTAAAACTCTTACCCCAAAAGTCCTATCGGATAAAAAAATGGTAATGAACGATAAACAGTTTCCCCGGATATTACACTCATTCAACGTATTTTTAAATGCTGTGTTTCAATAGTTCAAGTGTTACAAGAGTTAATAAAGAAACTACAACTGACTCTTTAACCTAGTTAATTAATGTGAATTTTCCTGACGCAACATGTGAAATGATGCAATCAAAACATCCAACAATTTACTCATCGTTCAAAGTAAATATATGTTCAGGGAACTTCAACAAGACCATGAATCCTGAAGTTTGGCCTCACGGAGTTGTTATCAGTTGTTTTTTTTTAACGCAAGAAAAAACAGACAAAGGAAGCTTAGTTTTTGATCCAGATATTACATTATTAAATATCCCAAGTGTTAGTGAGAAAACTGGTTCTAAATTGGATAAGTTAGAAGTATTTAATTCTCCTAATTTTGACACAGTTGGTAAAAATACTTTAACGGTCAATCAAAAAAGTTTTGGCTTACTTCATCAAAATATACAATGTATATTAACAAGCATTAAAAAACTAAAGTTCTTCCTGCAGTGCAAAGGTCTTCATAATATATGTGTCTGTTTAACTGAGCACTGGAAATCTAAAGAACAACTAGAACTACACCATATAAATGGATTTTCTCTGGCTTTATCTTTCTGCTGTGACCAAGGGGAACATGGAGGGTCTTCAAATCATGTAAAAGAGGGTGTGGTTTAGAAGAAACATTCTGATATATGTTCTCAATCTGAGAAATATAATTTTGAAGTGACTGCTGCTAAAATAGACTATTGCTTCTTTAATTGTGTTGTGTTGTGTATTTATCAGCTTGGATAGGAAGTAGTAGTGTCCGAAGGTAAGGCTATAACACTAACAGGCGATTTTAATATAGATTTCAAATCAAATGCACTAAGTAAGCAGAACTTGGTGAATGTTTTAGATTCTTATGGCTTAACCGTAACTGTGAATGATTATACAAGAGTAACTACAACTAGTAAAACTTAAATTATTTATATTGCTACAAACATAAATCACCCACAAAAAACCATGGTTTTGGAATTATTTATCCGTTCATATAGTGAAGGAACATAGATCGTTTTATTTAAACCCTTGAGTCAACAAATTGGTCAGAGGTATTTCCACTACTGAAATGTAAACCTAAAAATGTACACGTTCGAATTGGTTTACGCAGGAACTAAACAATTTAAGGGATCAGCTAAAACTTTGAGAAATGATCTGTCAGCAAAATAGTAATCTTAGGCCAGTCCTTCATTTGGCAAAGGCAGAATATTCAATTAAATTAAAAGCAGCTAAAAGTAGTCACTTCATGAGACGGTTAAACGAATCATCAAATAAAATGAAATGTATTCATTTAGTAATTTTAACAGTCGGTAAACAAAATAACTCAAAAGTACCTAGTGATGGTCACAGTAATTTAGCAGACAAATTTAATCACCATTTTGTTGAAATGGCTAAAAAGTTACTTGCCGCTTTGAATTCTACTAAAATAAGTGAGTTTGCATCAGCATCCAAAAACTGTAATAGTTGTTCTATGTTTTTATATCCAACTAACCCATAGGAAATAACTAATATAGTCGGAAGTTTTAAATCCAAACACAGTTGTGGTTTTGATCAGATTTCCCCAAGTTATTAAAACAATGCATTCATGCTGTCGCAGATCCACGGACGGTTATTTGTAATGCCCCTGTTCAACAA